GCAGCAGAGTCGCAGGAGTCGGTAAGCTCCGAGGAAGCAAGGAAAAAAGAAAAAAACAAGAATGCGAGGAAGGGAAGCAGAGGTCGCAAAAAGGGGAGCGGAAAAAAGTGAGAGCATAGGAGAAGGAACAAAAAGACCACAGCCTACCAAGTCCACACGCATAGAGGACTCCGCACCCACCACCGACGGAGCAGCCACACCACACCGTGCACGGGACATGACGCCACTCAAAGCAACACCACCACACGCAGCGCCCCGCACCCGCAAGGGAAGGGAGAATGACCCACAACGTAGCTCCTCCCCCTTTGTCTCTCTCTTCCCCTCATACCCACGGAAGGCGGTAACAGCAGCACAGGCGGCACTGCCGGCACCAACTACAAAAACATCCTCCACGCATACCGCAGCATGTATATATACCGTGTATGTGTGTGTGTGCCTGCAGATACAAAAATAAAAAAGAAGGAAGAAGAGCAAAGCGTGTGAGGACGCACATACACACACAGAGAAGAGATGCAGGACACAAAGAGAAAAAAAATAGATGAATAAAACTCAAAATGGCACCGCAGCCCGTGCAGTGACAACACACATGAAAAATGATTTACCAAAAAAAAAAAAAATGTCATGGAAGGCCCCTGTGCAATCCCCACAGTTCCACTCACAATTTGGCCGCATATAAAAATAAATGATATATTCGTTTCAACCACTGAAAGGCCCCGGTGTCCAGACACTGTTTAACTTTCACAGGGGCCCGCAGTGCGTTGCTGTGGCTCTCACTCCTTTTCTTCTCCCATCGGCGGACACACAATGCCGAGAGCGTCCGCAGCCGCCCAAGAAAAGCGGTTAGTTGTTTTTATCCGTCTCTTTTCAAACTAATTCGATGGCCTGCACGTCAGCCTGCACCGCGGCACACGTCCGCACCCACCAAACACCAGGACGTAAAAAAGAGAGCCCCGCTCCCTCCCGCAGCGACCGCCGTGCGGAGGCGCAGTGAAGCATCTCCCGCCGCTGGGCAAGCATGCAGGCCCAACGCCATCGTAAAGAACAAACCAACAAAACAAAAAAAACACATCCGTAAAGCAGTAAACCACCAAAACACTGAACAAATGAACACAGAAAAAACAAATCGGTGACTGGTATCCCGTCATTGAGGCAAACAATATAACAAACAGAAATGGATGGAATGAAATAAATGAAAACCCCTCTGTGCTGGAGCCGATGAGAGAACGCAATTTGTGGGTAAAGAAAAAAAAAACGAAAAACGAAGAGAAAAACAAAACAAAATGCGTGACTACCTAACAATTTATTTACTTCTGAAGGCGCATGAGAAACGGAGATGCTCTCAGTAGAAGCACAAACTCCCCTCCACCGGGGTCCACTCAGCACAGGGCCACAAAGCCCCATAGCCCCAATAGCAGCAGCAGAAGTAGCAACCGAGACACATCCGCACGCGTGGAGCCGTCACCTGCAAGTTTCCCAACCGCATTGGAACTGTCAACTGTACGCTCCCCAGACTCATTGGAGCTGTCACCTTCACGTTGCTCAGACGCATTGGAGCTGTCAACTGTACGCTCCCCAGACTCATTGGAGCTGTCACCTGCTGTCAACCCCCCCTTTGATCAGACGCATTGGAACTATCAACTTTACGCTCCCCAGACTCATT